ACCACTTCTATTAGTCTCATTACTTAAACAATCATTTCAAAATCTAGTTCCTACAGCTACTTACATAGCCTAATTGATATCAATGGATATTCTGCAATTCTTTGGATAATGAGATCTGTGTTGAGTCCCTTTTTTACTCACAGAGATCTTGACAAGTAACAAATAAAATTCATTTCCTTGGGAAATTTCAATTTCATCTGTTTTAATTGAAAGCTACACAGTAAATGTAAGAAAATTTCCAGGAAACTGCAGGCATTCCAAGCATGTATAAAGAACAGTTATCAATATTCCTAGGTGAAAGAGAGAGAAATAAAAACATCCCATCTTTTAAATTTAAATATATTTTAAATATCTATACATTTCTACAGAAGTGCAGAGAAAACATACATCCTGAAATGTTAATAAACAAATAAATACATAGGAAGGAATGTCAATGTTCTGGAGAGTTCAAAGTGAAGATAGAGAAGAGCTGTATGATCAGGAAGAATAGCAATATTCTACTGTCTAAGGACAGAACTGTCTGACTCTTGCAGATGTAGAGTTAATTTCAACCTTGCTTGGAGTCTTTAAAGTGAGCAACACAGATTTCAAAAGAGAGATTCTCAGTCACAAAGCAAGACTGTATCCACTAAATACAGTACTCTTTAGAAGAGGTCTGGAAGAGACAAACTTCATAAAAAAGCTATGCATACTTCATCATAAAGGCTCCCACTGACATCTGCTCCATAAACTGGTGCCACAAAAGTCAAATTCTTCCAGTATTTACGCTCCAGATCTTCATAATCTCTGTGTTTTGGGGTGTGGTATCTGCAGAAGAAGAGGGAGGCAAAGGTTCATCAGACTTTCAACAATCACCTTCATAATGGACTATACTTCTGATCCTGCAAATTAAATTCAAAGGAATCACTCTATCTCAAATTCACCAAAACACAGGAATTACTAGTTCTCCTGAATTCTTAGTTTCATGATTACCCATATGACAGAACCTCCAACCTGACAGCTACAGTAACTGAAGTCATGCACCTACCCATAATCATTTGCTTCAGTCCCCAGAAGTTAATCAGCACATCTACTGACTGTCCTCAGACTAAGCCACTCCCTTTTGTTTCTCTTCCATAAAAAACCCCACATGGAGAAGCCACATAATTAACAAGTATTTACTATTTCCCTACCACAGTACCAGCTCTGCAAAGACACAGATGTAGGTCCTGCACGAGCCTGTCTCAGAACAATTCAAATGTATTAATTCACCCATGTATCAACTCAGACAGGCAAAACCAGTACCTTCTTCTCTCCTTCCTTTCCCAGAGAAACCTTTCAAGAAAAGCTGTAATGTTTCAAACACTGATACCAAAAGTTCTAGGATGCAGAGGAAAAAAAAATTAAGAGAATTTTTCCGTATATCCCTTTATAACAGCACAGGACCCCATACTTACATGCTTAAATGTAAGTACATGATACACACTTACACGCTTAAATATACTTATGTGTATACTGTTGGAAGGCTACTCATGTAAAATCTTGTGGGAACACAACACAAGTACACTACCATAGGAACACCTATCAATGGCTTTGCTTCAGGACCCTTTGTCAGACCTCTGTTCTCCCCTATTTAGGCCTTCAGAAAAGAAGGTTCGCTCCTCCATTACTGCAGCTCCAAGAAGAAAATCCAAACATACAAGACTTAAGTAGACCAGGTACATTTTCATCACGTAGGAACTCTGAACAGAGATAAACTTAGCAAAACTTTGCTTAAGCAAAGCATTCTCAGCAACAGAGTTTTAACTGTTTCTCACAATTCAGTTCCAGAAATCAGATTGTGTTTTCTACCTAGCACTGAGTAATATGCATACATAAATTCCTTGATTACAGGATGCAGGTATGCCCACATTTCCCAGAGGTCAAGTAGAGAGCACCTTGGTTTAATGGGGAGTTGCAAATGTCTACACAAATAAAAGATGCAATGAATTAGACTAAGCACACATGATCCCTTTAAAGGCAACTATGATTAAATTTAGATGTTATGGCCCTTCTCTCATACCCACGGGAAACAGATAACATTACAATACTCAATTAAAGAGTATTTAGCATAGAAATCTTCTTCATTAATGAACAGAATTATTTTTATGGGAGAACAGAGGCTCTCAGCCACTTGATATAGTTTAAGAAATACAGAATACATTAAGAGTGTCATAGGAGGTTATATGAAAAATTTTTTTAAGATCAGTGATGAATATTTAGAAGTACCTAAAGCTAGTAATAGATATGAAGCCCACCCAACTGTTCTTATTTTTCCCTATGAAATTAAGTTGCATCTGATTTCAGTAACAACCACAAAAACAGAAATCAGAAAAACTTCCAAAATATCTTCCATGATAAAGAATATAATATATATCATGAGGTTTGTTAAACTTCACAGTATTTTTGTATTATGAAACTATATTAAGAAATTAATGTATCTCATTTTATTATGGGCTAATAAAAATGCAAACTTTAAACAAGCATGAAGAAGTACAAACAAGTATTGAGAATGACATCAGATACCATACAGGTCTTATCATTTATTCCTACCTCCAACAGTTACTAAATAAATGACTTTAAGAGCTACAAAACAGGTTTCCATTCCCACTTACCAAAGAAAGAATATTTTAACTAGGATAAACTCAATTTTTCACAAGTAATATATAGGCAGAAACACTGATCTATTTTAATAGTAAAAAAAGGATTATCAATTTTGCACTATTTTAAAGGCCTGGATATTATGGAACACTTGCTGAGGCACCTCGTTAAAAGCTTTTCATATCCTAGTTTTTCCTGATCTTGATAACTACTTCTCTTCTTACCTCTTAATTTCTTAACTAACTTATGAGAGAAACTTTCCCTCAAATTAAGGTAGTGTTACCTTCCTTCATTCAAACAATTTTTTCTCTCTAAGATCCTCTGACTCACCTTCCAGAAACTATTTCCAGTCAGTTTTAAAGAGATACTGAAGTAAAATGTATTCTTTTCACATGGCCAAAAGGAATGGGAAAACATTCCTTCTACCCCTTCCTTCTTTGTGGAATGCTCACCAATTTGAAATTTTTCAGTACAGTGCCTTCTTTTTTCCTCTCCCTTAATATCCATCTTGCCATAATCAGAACATGGACTTTCACTAGATATTAATGCAAAATGTTCAGGACAACTTAAAAAGATGTTGAGTTTTTTCCAGAATTACATGATGATAGTATCTAGGGATTAGATATTAAACATTAATAGGTGTAATCAAATTAAAACTCAGATATACGTCTCTATCATCTTCACTATATTCTACATAAGCATCTTTTGGAAAGAAAAACAGGCAGACAGAAAGCATCATGTGTCAGGTTTTTCAGATGTTTCCTTGCTGGCATGGTATCAGATGCTTTCAAGAACATTAACACAAACAATACCCACATTGTAGTACCCTTCCATAGCTCAGGAGGCAGCAAAAAAGTGAAAAAATGACCAGTTGCCTTGCACAATTAAAGGAAACCACAATATGTGACGATAAATTTTGTCTTTCTAAACAACACATACATACCTGACACTGTTGGCTAGCTGCTTGAACTCCTTCACTGTCATTGGCTTTTTCTGGATGCTGTACTGTATGAAAACCCCCGAATGGCCAGTGACCACCTGTTGGATTGGAGCAGGAATCACCATATCTTCAATGTCATCATAATGTTTTCTTGGCTTCCACTCCTTCGGTGGGATAACCTTTAAATTCACAAGTACAAAACAGGACATCACAGTTGTGATACCAATTGAAAATATCCTGGAAAAAACTGAAAGAACCAGTCAAATATGGCCACATGATCAAATGAATGCTTGCTTACCAGCTGTTTCACAATAACTAGCTGATAATCTAAGTGCTCCTAGATAATGTAGAAACCAATTCAAAATAAGCATATTTTCACCTCAGTTCACAACGGTCGGACTCAATCTTAGAAGTATTTTCCAAACATAACAATTCTAAGACATAAAATTTGCATACTGAATTTTAAACAAAAAAATCATATAAAAACCCCACAGTCCTGTAACTAAATGTTATTTGGTATGAACAGTAAGTGTAACATTAGTTTTTACTGAAAACTGAACAAAATGCAGCTAGTTTAGAGAACTCTAGACTTCGGAGTCTGTTCAATTATTCCCATAAAACTACAGGCTCTATTACAGTAACAGCTTACACTGATTTATATATATAAGCTTTTTTAATTAGTTAATGCGGGAGTTCACGTACAAAGAGGCTATGCCATTATCATCTTCTTGAATATCTCGTGACTATCCTTTATTATTTACAAAAGTGATTCTTTTATACACACCTATTATAAACGCCTACTTGTCAGTGGTTCACTACTATTACTAGCCCACCTTACACACAACATAATTGGTTATTAACATATCGTTCATAAAATGCCTCAAGCATTATTCTCCACCTCTAACCATCTTCAGCTCCTGCATCCCACAGCCAGGAGCTGCTTATCTTGCTACCTCCTTTCTCACATTCCAGCTGCAGCAGTGTCCTTGAACAGCTTAGCTTGCAGCTTGCTCAGGCCCTGCTAGCAAGGCTGGATTGCTCGCATGTCCGTTAGCGATCAGAAATTCTCCCACAAATTAATCTTCATCTTTGAAGATTAAAGTTATGTGCAGACTAATCAATTGTAAAGTCCATGAAAAGCCCTCAACAGATTCTAAAGTGTTAGTAGTCAAGCCATTAAGAATTTCAAAGCACCCCGTAGTCATACCACTGTTAATAGGCTCTGTAATTTTGGGCATTCCTCACATATATTCTTTTATCTGAAAACAGATATGAAATTCTATCACATTTAAATCACAGCAACAGAAAGTTTTTACGTATATATATTTTTAGTCTGGTTTTAGCTTTGAACTTTAACTAGTTCAAAGGTTCAACAACGTGTTTTGAGACACTCATATTGTTTCCTGTTGTGCCCGAATCAAATTTTCAAAACCTGGCTCAGACACTTTGACATGACACAAAGCAGGCTCTCACAACTATGACAAATTACTTGAATAATGAATTCACAACTAATCCATAAGCTAGGTGAGCTAGACTGTTCCTTTTACAAGCATGTCAGCATTCCACAGGAAAATGTCCATTAGAGATTTTGCTTTAACATCCCTCCAAGAAAGTAATAAAATTCTAAAGCTTTATACAGATAGATCCTGAGATCATCTGATGCCTTTGGAAAACAATCACAAATGGGCAAATAGTAACTCTAATGTATTGAAACAACCTCTTCCTTAGAGATGCAACTCTCTCTTGATTTTTCTTTCTCAGCTTCCATGGGACTTCTGCTGTACAGGAACTGCTTAGCAAGTTTCAGTGTTGTTTGCTTTTGGAGAAAAAAATGTAATCAAATCATCTGGTGTTTCCTACTTATTTCATTCACAGAAGTCTTAAATTATATGCACATCAACAAAGTACAAAATGTTAGTCTGGAAGCAGAGAAGTCATGCATACAGAATATATGCACAGAAATCAAATATGTGCACAGAGATTTCCATTTTCATGATTATTAAGCATGAAGTTGTAGGTTTGGCTCAAATATATGAATACTGAAAAGCAAAATTTGCATTATGGTATTTAATTCAAGGTCAGTGTGTTTTAAGCAATAAAAGTATTTTTGTGAACACCGGTTCAAAACGTCCTCTTCCAGCTAACTGGAGCATGTTTATTACTGCTGTAATTAGACCGGTCAGATAAGCGAACTCTGTGGGGACCAATATGCAAAGTACCATTTTAAAAGAAAATAAAAATAAAGCGTTCCTGCCCCAAAGAATCTGCATTTTCTAGCAAACATCAGGACAAGGACTGAAGATGTTAAAACATCACGTTCAAAGCAACACATAGCTAGTCCGTAAAAGACTTTGAAATAATAACTAGGTCTCTGAATTTTCACCACTGA